GTTCGTCCGTCTGCTTGTGCCGAGTAACCCCGTTGAGCAGCGAAACAGCAAACACGCTGGAACAACATGAGATCGAGTGCTCCTGCGGCTGCTGTTGGTGGTCGTGCCGTGGTGGTAGGCGAAGAAGAAGAAGACGAGATGGAACTGGGAGGGATCCGACCAGAAAGGAGGGTTTCAATAAAATATCCCCGACGAAACCGGCGCCAGCTGTTTTGCAGCCGGCGCTTCGATTGCCAATCGGTGTCGGAACAAAAAAAATTCCGACTAGGAGACAGTGCGCCCGTTGCCTGAACACCCTGGGATTCGACGTCCACGGGAAGTGGTAGCGTAGCGGTGGATCAACGGTTTGGACAGCGGCGTCAATTTTCCCTCAGAACTCGGTTGGTATGTCTCGCTCCCCAGTTCAATTGTTGTTGGCTCTCATTCTGACGGGGACGGAGGGGGGTTTCCTCCTTCTCTCGCCATTATGGCGAAGTCCTCATGTCGCCGAGCTCTCTCCGATCCGAACTGATAGCCGGGCGAGCCATCGAAGGGAATGTGGGAAGTTGTGGACGGTGCGACGCGGAACCGGGTACACCTCTCGCACGTCGAACAAATGTTTTTGATTCTTTTTCTAATCCAATCCGTTCGTTTGACCGTCCCGTTCGACCGCCGTCATCGAAGGGGAATGTCGTTGAAAAATGAGAACTCCGACTGTACACGTTGGACGGCCCGGCCGCTGCCGCCGCCGCCGCCGCCACCACCGCTGTCCTCCCCTCAAACAATGTTCCCGTCGGCGTTCTGTTCGTTTGTCCACGGCTGCGCTTCGCCTTACTGTCCTCTATCGCCGAAACTCCGCATCTGGAGTTTCGACTGACTGTACGACTGGTCTGTGGTGAAGGACCACTTACTGAGTTCTGGGCGAGCCAGGCAGCCGCCTTCGGCCGGCCGTCCGACCCATCGGGAGAGCGATCTGCCGGCGACCGATGCTGTCTGGGTTCCACAATGACTCATCGCAGAGATCCGACCCGCAAAACTTCCCGGTACCGCAACATTTCCTCTGTCTGGTGCGCGCGAATGTCTCCTCGTGAGTTGTTTTCCTCGCCATCATTCGACGGCGTCAGGATATAGGCTTGGACTCCGGGGTCGATCCCCTCGACGACTGAACAGAGACGGATAAGTGTGGAAGTTCTCCCACGGAATCAAAAATCTTGTCCTCCCGAGCAGAATTTCCTTTTTCGCGATTTTCGCTCACTGTTCGCTCCAGACTCGAGTTCGGCCAGTGCGCATTGAGTTTCGGGAGCGGACGAGCAGACGACAGTCTTCTCCGTTCCAGCATCAGAGGGGAATGAGGAGTGGGGAAAGGGGGAGGTGGTCGGGGGAGGGGGCGATGGAGGCCAGCAAGGGAGACAGCGGACGGCAGCTTGGGCAACAACAGCAAGCACAGCACTCGCAATAACCACAACAGCGGCGGCAGCGGCGCTGTTATTCGAGCATATTACGCTTCGCAGGCAAGTTTGCTTTTCATCGGGAGCGGCGGCTATAATGACGATGATAACTCGGCGATGGCGAATGAAAATGAAAACGAGAAAACCATGCAAATACCTCACACGCCCTAGCCCTCGAAAGCGGCATCGACGACGATGAGAAGGCCACTACTAGAAGCATCAACTGATCCAAGCAGCTCGGGCAGAAATCCTTCGTTAAACGGGAAGCCCTTACGACGACGACGTTGAGGGGGCTGTTGCTTGCTTGCCGTCGCCATTGTTCCTCTCTAAGGCCATCGGGGCCTTATAGCGAGGGGTCTGGCCATCGTTGGACCCAGAGGGGTCTCTCGGCGGCTTCTGCCCGGGATTGGTTGAGGGCCGGACGATGACGGCAAGCGGAGCACCCCGACCGGCTAGACCGGTCCGACCTCGCCCCCTCCGCCGCTTGTTGAGGAAAGGCCTCCATATAAGGGTGCTTGCTCTTCCAGACTGCTCATAAGCCGTGCCGCTGGAGATCCATATTGTTTTTCTTTGGCTCTTCCTAAGGCCAATCTATCAAAGGCATTTCTGCTTTCTCGGCTGCTCGCATCGTCGGGCCGTCGCCGACCCGTTCGCTCGCTTGGCTTGCGGGTCCGATTCGACGTGGCGGCGCGGCAGCTACGCCAGGCCAACTAACGGGCCGACATTACCCTCTTTCTTCTGTCGAGCGCGACCGACTCAATCTCGAAAATTCGCCTTCGGGGCAGCCGTTCCCCCCTCCGTTCTTAGGGTATAGAAATTTCACACGTTATCAGGTCCCGGTTTCGTTCTTTCCTTGCGCGGAATATGCTCAAGGACGAATTTTCTCACAGTTCGATAGTCCGCACCGCCGGGTCGAGGCGAACTAGGGATTCACCGCGGTCGGCGGAACGGAACCATGTCAATTTATGGCGCACGTTGATAGACATTCCATCATTTGCACAGGATCACGTCGTCGTAGAGATTTAGAGCCGTTGGCGCAGTGCGGTGACGGCGGCGCGACGGCGAAGAGAAGCCATGCTCGACTAGTGAAGCTTCGTATGCGAGGCCACGCTTTCGCGAAGCACCTTTGTTGAGTACTCCCGTTCCACATATATGTATGTACAGCAAACAACTCGGGCTTGACGTCGTCGTCGACTCTCTTTACGACTTTTGCGTCCATGCTGCCATCGTCAAGGTGAATGTCGAGTCCGCGAACGAGTGACCGAGCGGGCCAGCGGGCGGGCGGGCGTCCGGCCCTCAAAAGCAAATCGCCTACGTGGGCTCATGGACCAGCAGGAGCGGCCGGGGGAAGGAAGATGCGACGAGATCTGGTCGCCGGAGTAAACCGAAGATGGACAAATACGCACGCGTGTCCAGATGGTGTTCCAGTGAAAGAAGCGAGTCCTCCGAGATCTCAAGCTCCGAGTTTTTGCAACGAAGTAACTCGGGAGCCTCGCGCAATTCGGAAGCAGCGCTGCGCGTTCTCAATTGTGCAGTTTTGGACCCTTTGCATCTTGCCCAAAGCGGAACGACCGCCGGTTGGCTAAGTATTCCATTCCCCTCTGAGGAACAAATGTGTCTCCCGGGGACGCTTCACGATCGCAATGAGACTCCTTTACCGATCGCTCCGTTCCGCGACTCTCCGACTGAGGAGAGAGAACAGGTGGCGGATAACGCACTGCATTGAGCTACCGAGCACGTCAATCACGAGATCTACGATCCCTCGTGGTCCCCACGAGAGCACACTGTCGAGTCTTCGGAACCGAGATCGCCTCGATTTCGAAAATCCGTCGATAGGTTTTTGCATTCTGTGACGCTGATCCCGTCCATACCTACATATGTATAGGAATTCTTCCAACTGCCTGGAGCTACGAATCTTCGTCCCAACTAGGTGAACAAATGAATTTGTTCCCGCGGGAGGGATGAGTATTCATGTTCGGATGCTTCGGGTGCCCACCGGACCCATCGGTCGTAGGCTTGGCTTCAGTTACCGCGCTGAGAGCATGAGCAAATTGCCTCATTTATTTTGAGGTGCTTCCTCCAGCTTCTCCTGGAGGGAACTCGACCGGGGCTTCTCTATCCGTACGAAGAGGCTTACGCGAGGTCGGCTCACTACGGAAGAGAGGCCCGGCCGGAGACAGACGTCAACCGCGTTCCGCCGCTGCTGCAAAGATCTTTCGCCACAAAATGATAGGTCTCAACGGCGACTGCAGCAGCAGCGAGGCAAAATCACAGGGAGTGAGGGAGGGGATTTCACCGTGAGACGGTGGATCCGCGTATGACGTATTCTCCTCGAGCAGTTCGGATGAGTGGCCAGGGGAAATTTCGATCGTCCTCGTCCCAAAACAAAAAAGCACCTCGCAAATCGCGGGCGGTTCGAGGCGGAACGAACATCGGAATGGGTCCTGTGGGCTCACGAACGGGATCGGATAATTCTCGCGCAGCACTCCTCCGCTCAGGCGGCCCAGGCCGAGATTTCTGTGTGTGTTCGGCTGAGAGTCTCTCGATCCGGTTGTCGGTGGTAAGCCGAGTGACCAATCCCAGGAGTAAACGGGTGTCGGTCGCACCGTCTGAGAGTGTTGGCGGTGAACGAGCGACAAGGACAGTAAAAGCGTCTTTTGTACTCACTCGGCTTGTCGCTTCTTCAAGTGTCAGTCCGACTGTGCGTCTCACGCATTCTTTGTTGCCAGGGACGCCCATTGTGAGGGAAGACCCGGAACTCGTCCGTTCGCCTCGCTCCCTCGGCCGCCGAGTTGCTTGGGCGGCGCAAGAGGAGTCGTCCCTCCGTGGCAAAGGGGGGGGGTGTATGGAGGACTGATAGCGCGCGCCTCCGAGATCAAGCTTACCGAATCAGAAGTTTTCCGAGATGTTCTTCCGATAAATTCGCTGGGAGTCAGTTTCCGGTGGGAGGTTCCTCGGGCTCGTCCCATCATTCGAGTACTATGTAGGTGTTCGAGCCAACACAGCATCTTCCTCCAAAGCCTCTTACGCTCCGTCGGTTACGGTCTTTCATCAAGCCTGCTGTGCGACGTCGTCCGTGTTAAAGATGATGATACAGTTGATTCACCTTGCCATCATCATCATCATCGTGGTGAACGGGAAGGCTGCTGCGGCGACAATAGCGCCTGCGAGTCGTTAATCGAGGCGACATTTGCCATACACCGAAAGAGACTCGAGCATCGATTTTCCACTACAACCTCCGATGGCGTGCCGAGGTTTCCAGTTGCATCTGCGCAATCTCTCAGAAAAATCGCTTGATTACTCGATTGATATCTGAAAACTTTCTCTCCCATCCCGTGTGCTCTGCAACTCTCGTCCCCCACCTTCACGAAGTAAACCCCTTTCCGACGTGCCGCATGGATAGTTCATCCCAGCAGGGGTACACCGAGGGAGTATCCCGAAGGGGTATCCCGAAGGGATATCATTGCTCGTAGGCGCGGGATGCATAGTCTCGAGTTCGGTCAGAAACCCGAGTCAGTGATAAACCTCACACACAATGAGGGACTAATTTTCCTGTTCCGGTCTCTATTCCAGGCACACTGGTGGCAGCATTCTGTGTCCTCTGTGGTTGTCGGACGGAGTATTCGAGCAAAGGACGTGCGTTTTTTCTTAATCTGCTCGCGGCGATGATTCAGTCGTTCACGGCGCCCTTCGTTATAGGTTGGGTGTGGAGTATCATGTGGAGCGTTACATGTGTCAATATTTCGCGTGAGTATCCCCATTCCTGATCGCGATTCGTTGAATTCAGTCGCAGGGAAACTTCACAGGTAGACGAGTTCGCGGAACCTTCACCCCGTGGATTCAGAGCAGGAAAAAGCCTCGAGATTGCTAACGGAGAGAGTTTGAGCTTCGCGCATATTAATCCGCGAAAAATTCTATTTGCAGTAAACAAGGACCTACAGGCGATGATGCAGCAGAGTATGTCGGACACCGCGGTGCCTCTTTGACATCCCCAGGCTAGCCTGCCTCCTCCTCCTTCAGCACCGCCACCTCCAGCCCCTCTTCCCCCTGCACACGCTCTTCCTGGGAATTCTCCGCCTACGAGTGATAATGAAGTCGGAATACACCGTTCGCCTCGAAATGTTGTTTTTCACGCTGCCCCTAGGCCTCAGCGATCTCTCCCATCCCGATGCAACGGATAAAACTGCCCTGTACTTCGGAGGCTTTTCGGTTTTCGTCGATATTGGATCTAACAGTCGATCGTTGCGTCGGCGTGGGAATGAGATGAAAGCAGCTGGCCGCACACACAGCGTTCCTAATTTCTCCGATGCTCAAAGTAGACCCGGACGCAAACTCGAGCCCGGAAGGGAATCTCAATTGTTGGATGCCTTCACGACGGTCCTTGAAGATTGCTGTTCGATGATCGCATCAATTGTTCACCTTTGTGATAGATTTATACCGGACGAACGCTGACGTTTGATGGAGTTTCACCATCAAGGAATCCTGGACCTGAACTATTGTTCGGCGTTCTGATTCCAGAACTCTTCCTTCTGATCCATTCTTCCCGAAATGCGCCCCGAGTGCACAGTGCGAAATCGATTCGGTTACGAAATATGTCTCGCCCTTGATTCACAGATGCCGAATTTGTTATGACGACGATGGTGTATAGATCCGGAAGAAAAACTCGTAGGCGAGGAAAAAACACGCGTCTAGCGAACGCCTGCGATGAGATGGAACGGAAGAAGAATGGATGGACGGATCCTTGGAGTAATAACCAGCCAAGTAGCAGAGAACCAGGCGGACGGGCAGGCAGGCTTGCAAACCCGTTTTCCCCTTGAAGTTTCCTTCACGCGTTGACTTGATCTAGTCACACTGAATCGAACCTTCCTCCACTGGCGTCGAGTCAAACACACAATTTTCGCTGATTGGCTGAGCAAAGAGTCGTTCCTTCTGGAACCGACGGAGAAAGCTTGCGCTTCTAACGCGGTGCGAACCAAACACACTCTGGTGTTGAAAGTAATCGGGGGGATTCGCCGACCGAACTCGGTGAATCTCCGCGGTGGTCAATCAAATAATATCTGACCGCGATACCTCGATCGAGCTGTGAAGGAGAAACTCTGCAATGCAACGCGGGATTTCGTCTGAAACAGTCTGGAGGCGAAATTTGTTGGTCTGTGAGGAGATTCCCCCGCGGTCTGGGACATCGGTCACCGATAATGAGATCTCATGTCAGTCAATTTTCGAAGTTCAGACTCATTAGCGAATCAAAACCATCTCAAACCAGACGGGCGCATGGCTAGCTATTCGAGAATCTGATTCTTTGCGCAGCTTCTCTATGGTTGGGTAAAAGTCTCCTCACTAGAATTAAACTGACCGATGATCCTCGGATTCGGTGGTGTCGGTATGCATCTCTTCACGAGAATATGAAAGTGATTGAAATGAAATTCGATGCCGAAACCAGGGAGAGAGAAATCGAGACGACGTGGTGTCGATATTTTTGTGTATTCGACCGGTCAGTGTGTGAGAGCGAGAACAAAGATGAGGATACATGAGGGCGAATGGGGCGATACCGAATACGTCTATCTTCCTACCGATCGGTGAAACTTCACCCAAGCTGCCTGTCAGAGACTCGATATCGGAACATTTCATTCCAAGAGAAACACATAGCGACAGAGAGATTGCGTGAATCCGAGAGAGAAGAAGCAATGACAAGGAGAGAGGAACGACATTCCGGATATATCATTGTTTGAGTCCAAGTGGAGGAAATGGAGGAACAACCAACGATTCAACTAACTTAACATCCATATCGGTAGGAGCACGGAGTTGTCGCGCGCCGAGAATACAATGCATTAGCATTGTAGTGCCTTGTCTCGCCTCACGGACACATTTGACGAGAGGGAAATCAAAAGAGAGAAATGAATCAGGGTGAAACGCCCCTTTCTTAATCGATCATCGCCGGAGTACATATATGAAGACAATGATCGTGGTGACGATGGCTATGTCAATCGCGCTGCAAGGAGAAATTGAGACTGCTAATAATAGGAATAATAATAACTGATAATAATAATAATAATAATAATAATAATAGTAATAACATAGACTATCGACGATTATCGAGCAGAGATACGATGATGATGTTGATGGCTGATGCTCCGATGTTTTCCGGGCAGACAAGGGTATGAACGAGAGAGGGGGACGCCGGAAGAGTAAGCCGAGCGGATTGAATCAGTAGTTTTTAGAAATGGCTTGCTGAATACCGCGACATCAATAAGTCACCCATGACCAAACGGTGAAGACGGAACCCAAGGACTCCCATGAGAGTTCGGTTATCATCTTCGGATGAGACATCAATATATCCCGTTGAGGGTCATCGAGACGAGAGAGTCTACGGAATTATTATTATTAAAAATCGAATAATGAAATGACAAGGACACAAGCAGAAAACCCCAAAAAACACACCGATGAAGCGACTAGGCGTCGCGGAAATGAGAAATCACTTAGTTTTCACCTCGGATCTGAGACTCCGAAGCTCGAGAGGAGAAGATGAGCAAAGTAAAATGTCAGCATATCATCTCAGCAAGGAGGAAGCGAGCTTCATCATGAGAAGAGCTTTCGAATGTCACAATGGAGAGTTCGTGTGTGTCGGGTGCGCTCTGGGTGTTTTGTTCCTATGCCCTCGGACACACACACTCGAGCACGAAAACTCAAGATTCAGAAACACGGTCGTACATGATTCACGATGTTTTGGCATCGAAAATCTAGGATGCGTCACAAGCTTGAACTAGGTAGAATGTAAGGTTCAACGACAACGGTATCGACGACATTTCAAGCCGATATCCGGAAACAACAGCGTAGAGCATAATGAATATACATATGAGAAACAGAAATAACACCACTTATCTAGGGTCCTACATGAGATCCTAGCCACCGACTCGGGGCGACTATCTTGTCGGACGAGAGTCGAGACTAAGCCGGCATGGAGATCCGGGTCACTGAGACGGAAGTCGAGTGGCTTCGAAGGCATGCCAGCAAAACTACAGATGAGGAACGATGTTGGAGCTAGTCAACGAGAATCGAATGATGATAAATAATACAAGGAGGCAACAAATGATTAATTGATGATGATGATTATAATAATAATGACTAAGATGACGACAACCCCGCAACCAAAGTACTCAAATGATGGATGAGGAGGACGCGAAACTAGGAAAACATATAGTGGATTGATATGCGTGTCTGAAGGTTGATTTTGGATGAAAGAATTGGAACAACACGAGAAAGAAGAGCAACACCGATGGTCTGCCATTGACAGGTCACATACAGTCAGATCGGCCGGAATCGTGCGACGCCGACGTAGCCAACACGTGGAAGGTAGTCCCGGGAGGTCGATCTCCACCAAGATACATATCGAGAGATGGAAGACCCGATGACTGAAATTCCTTTGCGTCGAGGAAAAATTGCATATCCGTCTTAGATCTTTTGCTCATAGATCGGATCTGCCGGGGACACCTCGATATATTTTCTTCTCTCATCAAATGAACTTTTATGGGATGAATCGGTATTCTTCGCACTGAAATCTGCCGTCATTGCTGTCGTGTTCGGCGGCGTCGGACACGCCGCATCGCCTTTCGGCGTTGCAGGAAGGAGCATCAAGGGAATGTTGTACTGGTAGAATACGAAGCAAATCAGGGAGAAAGTTGCATTAGACAGCGTAAGGAAGTTCGCGATACTGACTGAGCCACTCTTTGAAGGTAAATACTCTCTCAGGCCGCAAGGTGCGCGGTCTGCCAAGTACTCACATTCGCGATTCTCACTTAGCCGGCACTGTAGGGGACAAAAAGCAGACTGCGAGACACAAACAAATCTCCACACATCCTCTTTGTAGGTCGAACAAAGTTTCCGAGCTCACGCATGCTCAGGGAAAAAGCGAAGCTCTGTAGTCGTATGTTGACCTATGGACCCCTTTCACCTTCAGAGCGTATTACAACGTCTGACTGCGGAAAAATAACTGAGGGGAGAAGCAAGCCCCTACCTCCCTCACTCCTCATCATCCTGGACGTTTTAATACCTACTCTCATAATAGCTCTGAAATCCAATGCAGGCGGGAGCTGAAGCAGACTCACTAGCCAACGACAGAAACGTAGACAACGATGGAATGGAAGACGCAGGGGTGAAGACAAAACATGGAAAAAGCAGCAAAAAAAATCAATCAACTAATACTCACCACTAAACGATACAACCGCGCGTTGCGACCGTACCATGATATTATGTTCAGTGTTCCACAGACCCACGCCTGCTAGTGGAGCAGGGAGCTAGTCACGAGGAATCTCGCAGCTTCGATCAACTGCAAAGACAACACTGAAGACTTCAAGGTGCAGATTCTGAGCGAAGGGAAAAAAACGTCTCCCTCCGTGTTTCAGCTGATCAACATCTGATCGTGTTGGTCCGATTGATATCATATTACCGAATAATTCGGAAACTTCCATTTCTCCTAAAAAATCGGTCTGGGTTGAGACTCGGTCTGAACTTGAAATCTGCGGCCTGTTGTTTGCGCAGTGACGGTTCAAGACGTCTGCGTAGAGTCGGACGTGTGTCTGCCATTGGAATCGTTTCTTACCTTCAAGCTTCAGAGAAGAAGGCAAACTGAAACGGAAGTAGAAGGGAAAACCTTCTGAGGAGAATCGACGAAAGTTTGCAACGTTTTCTCCCCTAGGCCGTGAACGCAGATGATGGTTTGCCTCTGGATGTTTGGTTGTTATGACGAGCGTTTTCCATTTTTACGATCGCGCCTGTCGCTTCGTTAGTAGGTGGATCTCTCTTCACGGTAGTCGATTCGCAGCTCGATCACTGTACCGAACTCGAAGTGGTCCGAATCGCTCCCAGAGCACTGATCCAGTCGTTGATCCACCACGCATTTATATTAATTTTATCGACAAGTTTGTCACATCATCGCTCATACCTCGTTACTCCTACATAGGACCACTTTTTTTCCATAGAATGCCCGGGG